AAAGGCCTATAATTTCTGGCTTGAATGGAAGATGCAAGACGAATGGGTAAAACCTTCAATGATCGCTTGGGCTAGAGACATAGGAAGTACATTGACGTTTGAACAATGGGAAAAGGTATGGGAGAAAAATATAAAATTTGTCAGATCAAGTTCCTTTAAAGAGAACATGATCAAAATGTTCTATAGATGGCACACCTCCCCAGTTAGATTAAACAAGTTTGATAAGAAAGTTGGAAAGAACTGTTGGAAATGCAAACGTAGTGATGGAACATTTTTTCACCTATGGTGGCTATGTAGTAAAGCCAAAAAAAATTGGAAGATGGTTAAAGAGATTATTGATGAGATTTTGACTAAGACAATACCACTAACACCGGAATGTTTTTTATTAAATTTTATTCTGGATACTTTTAAAATGAAATTTACCTAGTGATGCATATTGTTACAGCAGCCAGAATTTTGTACGCTAGCAGGTGGAAAGATGAGGAAACTCCTTCTAGAGAAGAAGTGATTTCTAAATTATTAGAGGTGGCGGAGATGGAGAAACTAACTTTCTTGTTACAAGAAAAAGGCTTTGAAAACTTTGATAAATATTGGCAAAAATTTTATAGATGGTTAAAGGAGAGAAAGTAGGTGAAAGTAGCTGAATCTAACTGACAGTGATTAAATTGGATACGAAAGTTAGATGTAAATATATAATATATGCAAATATATAATAGTATCTGTTAGGCTATGACAAATAAGATAGGAAAATGGAAGGTAAATATTTTGTGAAAAATTGGAACCAATCTGCAACTAGATGTTGTGTAACATGTTGGTAATTGGTATTTTGTTATATATATATTTTTTCTTTTAGTTAATCTGTTTAAATACAAATAAAGATAATGTTAAAAAAAAAAAAAAGGACCAGGCAGTAGGTAATGTGAAAGACCTCTGCCTGAGACCCTGGGAAGCCTCTGCCGGTCTAAGTAGACAATACTGACTTTGACTGATGGTCTGATTTAGTATAAGGCAGCTTCATTTGTGTTCATAGTCCTCAAAGTGGTTCACAAGAACCCCATCCGTTGATAGCAGTGGCCACCTCGAGTTTGCTTGCAGGGAAAGGTGGGCTGGAAATGAGTGGAATAAATAAACGCGGCCTTGATAATGACCAGAACCCTTTGAAGCCACATCTAAGCATTGAAAAAGATACACTGAGCCTCGTTATCTTGCGAGGTGGGGAGAACTTTTGAGGCACAGGGAGATGAGTCTGTTCTGCACACGATCTGTCTTTGAGATATCAGACAGCTTCCGGTGAACCTAAAAGCAATGTTAGATAGGGGAGAGCAAGGGTTTCTTTTAGAGCCGCCTTCCTGGTCCCCCAAGGGTTCCTGCTGGCACACGCTTCTGCCCCTCCTCTGTTTGTTTCTCAGACATCCACGACCGGGTCACTGCCCCTCTTGTCCGATTGTATCATTTCTCCAGTTCTTCAGTCCCAGCCGTGCTTCGGGATCTTATTTTTTCGAGAATCTTTGCCGTTCGACCGAATGGTTTAAATCAGGGGTCCCCAGTCTTTTGGACCCCATGGCGGGTGCATGTGGCACTTTGAGAGGGGGTGGTGAGTGGCACCCCAAAGGTAGCTTCCGTGGGAGGTGGAGCCAAATGGAACCCTTTCTCCCTCATGTCTCCTGAAGGAGTAGTAGAGTCTAGTGATATTAATTGAAGTACTTCTCCAGAAGAAGAAGAAGAAGAAGAAGAAGAAGAAGAAGAAGAAAAGATTGGATTTATACCCCGCCCTTCACTACCCAAAGAAGTCTCAGAGCCGCTTACAATCTCCTTTCCCTCCCCACAACAGACTCCCTGTGAGGGTGGTGGGGCTGAGAGAGCTCTTGACAGAAACTGCTCTTTTTCAAGAACAGCTCTTATCAGAACTACGGCTTGCCCAAGGTCATCCAGCCAGGTGCAAGTGGAGGAGTGATGAGAGAGCACCTGGCTCAAGGCTCCCAGGCAAGCCAAGTAGTCCATTGGGGGAGTCACGTGATCCCGGAGCCCATTCACAATGTGCTCCGTGGCGGGCAGAATGAGTCAAATGTCCCTTTAAGGGCAAACCACGGCTCCCCCTGCCACCAGTTCCAATAACACATCCAGCTGTGCATTCGTTAAATGTAACATGAGAATTACTCGCTGCATGTGGGGTGTTTTTTGGGGGGACATTTATGCAGCCCCGCCAGGGAAAAAAGTGCCCCACAAGCCACAAGATCCTGGTTACGGGCCTGCTAGAGATCAGTCAGAATTTCCAGCGATCTCCTGGCCCCACCTGGAGGCTAGTAACTCTACATCCATTTGAGAGTCTCGCAGCAGGAGATGCAGATGCCAAGTGGGAGGATTTGGGTGCATTCTCCCAAGCGCTCATCCTTCCTGTGGGCGAGAGCATGGCAGCTGTTGAAGCACTGCAGGTCCTTGACCTCAAGTTCCTCCTAACCTCTCATTCCTTCACGGTGTGTTTAATTGGGCGTATGCCATTGAATTACGTTAACAGTGATTCCCAAGGAGCTGTAGGTGTGCGTGTGCGCCGGAAACCTTGTTGGTGCCTCTTCGTCACCCTAATTAACTGCAGTAACGGTTTGTGTTCACACAAGGAGCCTCAACGATTGTGAAGCATGTTTAGGAAAATCTTTGTTGTTAAGGCGGGGGGGGGTGTTGGAAAGAGGCTGTCCTCTGAAACACTGCTTTGTCAGCAGAGCCGGTTATCAGAAGGACCGGATTCCCGAGATGATTAAAAGCCGGGGCTTGAATCGGAGTTGATTTGGAATGAATGCACACCCTAATTAAAATTTCTGCTGCTTCTGTTTAGACGAAAGTACTGGAGACGGTGAATTAGATCTAAGTGGAATCGACGACAGTGAAATAGATATGGTAAGAATGTGTCTCTTCCCCCCCACCCTCAATTATCTCTCTGCACACGTGGAACTTGGGAAACATAGCAGTTCGCATAGGGCTGGGGAAGGTTCGCTCTACACGGCCACCAAAGAAACTGTTCTGTTTCGGCGATGCACATGTAACAGAATATTTGGGGAGCAGGGGAAAACAGTGCCAATACTATGACACACTGGAAAGTAGGAGGATGTGAATAAGATGCAATTCAACAAAGATAAGTGTAGAGTTCTGCTTCTGGGTAACAAAAATGAGAAGCATGTATACCGGATGGGGGACAGACTACTAAGCAGCAGTGTATGTGAACAAGATCTTGGAGTATGGGTGGACCGTATGCTAAATATGAGAAGTCAGCGGCAAAAAGGGCTAATGCGGTCTTGGGGTGTATCAGTAGAGCAAAACATCCAAATCACAAGATGTTATAGTCCTGAATTGGTCAGGCTGCACCTGGAGTATTGTGTGCAGTTCTAGAGGCCTCACTTCAAAAAGGATGTGGACAGAATGGATCGGGTGCAGATAGAGCGACGAGGGTGATCGGGGGCCTGGAGACCAAGCCCTGTGAGGAAAGGCTGAGGGACTTGGGAAGGTTCAGTCTGGAGAAGAGGAGGTTGTGGGGGGACAGGATTGCTCTCCTGAAGTATTTGAAGAACTGTCCCTTAGAGGAGGGCAGGGAGCTGTTCCTGTTGGCAGCAGAGGAGAGGACTCGCAAGAATGGGTTTAAATTAAGGGCGGGAAGGTACCGGCTGGATATTAGGGAAAACTTTTTTACAGTAAGAGTTGCTCAACAGTGGGATCAACTGCCTAGGAAGGTAGTGAGCTTCCCCTCACTGGAAGTCTTCAAGCAGCGGCTGGATAAACACTTGTCAGGGATGCTTTAGGCTGATCCTGCACTGAGCAGGAGGCAGGACTAGATGACCTCTATGGCCCCTTTCAACTCTATGATTCCACATTATTTATTTATTTAATTTGTATATATAGGACATTTCTTTGCCACCCTTTCAGAGTCCTGATTGAAGAAGCTTAGAATTAAAGCAATGTGACAATATAGAAAGCCGTTGGAATGGTCCATAAAGCAGAAACACACCATTTTAGAACGTGGTAAAATGAGAAGTCTGGGCATTAGGCGTAATACTGGGAGAAAGGGAGTGGGTATCGAATGCTGGGATAAGGCTTTAGCAAGGTGGTGTGAGACAACCGCCGTGAGGTATACACTTTAGAAATGTATTAAAGGTGAATTTTAAAACCCCAAGTCTGTTCTGGGCACAATTCCAGGAGAGGGAGGGGGGAGTGCTAAGTTTTTGTAATTGAAAAAAAATGGCTTCGGGGGCGGACACAGTTTGGGAATCCTGCCCTGGAAGGAAGCCCCCTGCTCCTTCATCCAAAGCACGTATGGAAAATTTGAATTTGCTGAGAGGCAAAAATTAGGTATTCTGATCGTCAACAGAAGCACTCTTTAATATTTTTGGGTTGGTGCCAAAGTCGCTGTGCTACCGCTACAAGGGCACTTAAGCGGAACCGCATTTCCATTGGCCGTTGTCCACTTACTGTTTGGGAGGGTCCCCTGACGCCCTGGCACAGAGTTTCAGGGGGGTTCAATAGGCCGTAGAGGGAGAAGAGCAGTGGAAAGTTTTGTTCTGGGAGCTTTGCTGTTCTCCAGGTTCTTTGGAATCAAAAACAACTTTATATTCATCCCTGTTTCTTCAGTAATGGAAGAGCCGGACCAAGGACTGGAGAGGGGGGAACTAAGTGGGTGTAGTTAAAGGAGCGACGGGTGTGGCTACATAACCAAGGTTACCACTACAGCAAGGGTTCCACCACCACCACTACCTTCTGCCTACTTATACTACCGTAGAACAGGGTTCCCCACGCCTTTTGACCCTCTGAGCATCTGTGGAATTCAGGGTGTGTTGCAATCACAAAACGGCCACCCCAGGAGGTAGAGACAACCACAAAATGGCCAGCTTAGTAGGCTGTTAGTAGAGTGTTAAGCCCAAGTGCAGGGGAGAAGAGGGATACACCGGGAAAAGCAGAGTGAGAGAGAACATAAACTGACACTGCGGTGGCAGCCGCTACTGAAATGTTATTTCTAATCTGCCCGGCCAATTGGATCTCCAGTGATCAGCCAGAAGCCTAGCTGGGCAAGACCCCCCACACACACCTGGGCCGACCCCCTTTCTGAAAACACTTGGCAGTTGCCAGGAGATATCTTGGCAGGCTCCGTGGCACCCACAGGCACCACATCGGGGGACCCCCGGCTGTAGAGAAATGGCAAATATTTACTAATGAAAGTCAAATGGGTGGCATTGAGCCTTATGGAGCAGAAACGGATGCCAAGATCCCCTTTCCTTAGTACACTGTATTGCCTGACGCGGTGACCCTTCTCGTGCCCCTCCGAATCTGTCTCTTTGTCGCCCGGCGGACCACAGTCCTTTTGTTCTCCTCCTCTAATTTCCCCCGCCACTGCCTCTCTTT